TCAACGATCCAAAGGATACTTGCTCAAGTATTTGAAAGAGAAAACGTCAGAAGCTCAGGTATACATAAGAAATTAAAAGTTATATTCGCTTCAAGTTTTAATGTTTATTCTGAACTTGGTGGTTTCTTTAACTGTTTCACTGCAGGTAATATTTCGCCGAATCCCCCTCGCTCCGGGTCTATAATGCGATAACTATTGCTCGAATAAAGTTTTAATACACTTTTCACTTTTAATACAAGTTTCGAAAACACAATATAGCGGCAGGACACCATACAGCAATGAAAACATGACATATGGTTTTGAAAGAATCTCACGGCAAATTTTTTCCCAACAGTCGGGATAGTTTTTGCTACAGTATTTGTTTAAAGTGAATGTTTCGCAGTTTTAAATAAGTTTAAAATTGTGTGCGAATATGTTTGACACAGTAAAATAATAAAAGAATCCTACCTTCAAAGTTAAATACACAACATTTTGTGCTTTTTTCGTTTTCTGGGGACGATTTTTTCAATACTTCGTCAATTTTGAAACCAAATTTGCCGAATCACTCTTTTTGAAAAGCATTATTTACTAGTCAGGTGGTAAAGCATTATTTACTAGTCAGGTGGTAAATAATGCGTCAGATTTACGAGTGAACTAGCCAATCAAAACGCGCGAAAGCTCAATTGATATGCAAAATTTATACTAATATTCATTGTTACATCGATAATAATTGTGATTTTTGACCTTTTGATATCTTTCATATAGTGACGAATTAAAAAATACAACTTTCCTTTCATGGTTGTCATGATTATCTTTCTTTTTAAGGAATAAGCTATATATCGGTGTTAAAATCTCAATGAAATACTGCTTTTCACCTCTGAATAAACATGATAGGTACGTTGTGTAATTTAATTTTATTCAAATTTCAACAAAGGAATTTCCTCTCCAATCAACAAGGTCCGAAAACCGATACCATATTCTCGTTATATCAATATACCAGAAATTTCTGATATCGAACATCCCTATTGTAAAATATACCTACCTCCAACTTGTGGCAAAAGGACGTTGACAATATCTTTAATAATCCATGAAAACGGAAATTTCGCACTGAAACAATGCCCAACTCCAGTACTCAAAACACGAGCTCTTTCTCTTACTCTACCGGATACAGGAGAAGTAAAAGAATCATAACTTAAAGGCGTAATTACATCTTTACTGAACATTGTTAGCCACAATCCTATTTGCCATTCATTTCCTTCGCGTAGCAAATCGAGGTTGTGATTTTGATCACAGTACGCAATCACTTCTGATAACATTGGAGAGACAATCGAGGAAAGTTTTTGCCATAACGCTTTTCTGAATGTTCCAGTTTCCTGAAGATGTCCTTGACGCAAAGCTTCATGTTGTAACCACAGTCGCTGATCTTCAGGACATTTTTCGTCTCGTTGCCGAAGTAAATTGTGAACGCGCGTGGCAATGATTTTGGAAAACTCTAAAAATAAATATTGATTTAATTAAAACAGAAATTTAGTTGGTATTCAGTTTGATTTCGGTTTTAATGTTATAAACGTTACTAGATTTTTAATTAAGGTAATTAATTCAATGTCGAAAAGTGAATCAAAGAATTCAAACTAACCTTATTCAATAGAGTGACAATTTTCTTACACATGATCAGTAAGTCAGTAACATTCGAAAATTATTAGGGAGTTTAAGCTTCACGTTTTCGGAAACGGCAAACGGCGGGTTCGAACTTTCTTGGCAAAAATTTCGTTGAGCTTTTTCGTTTCATATTTTCTTTCTTGCGTCGAAAGAATAATTATGTATTTCAGTTTGAAAACAGCAAGTTTATTTACTCTTTATTGCCTGTTACCGTAAAATTTTTCTTTGCCTGGCGTTTGCCGTTTGACGTATAACGTGAAGCCTAAACTCTCTATTACCTTTTCAGGAATGGATTTACTGGGAAGAGCAGGTGCAGGGGGTTCGATATTCTTTTTCAATATTTGGAAAAAGCAATTAACAAACGATAGTAGTATGATTGTGAAATGCAAGAGTATACAGACTGGTGTGTGAACCACGACCAAAGCTCGATAAGTATCCCTAGCAAATCTGGCTGGAACTATTCCTGTACGTCCTTACAAACAAAATATAACTAAGATTTTATTTCTGTGTTGGTGTTATGTGCTCAGGAGAATATGATGTTTTTGATTTTACTCTGAGTGTATATCCACATCGGGCAAGCTTGAAAAATATGCCTGGCCACGGTGGGAATCGAACCTACGACGTTTGGAATACTAGCCCAATGCTCTGCCAACTGAGCTACGCCGTCAGGTCGGTTCGAGTAAAATCATGATTACTAGATTGCATTGATATCGAAGGAACTAGACTCAGTTCCGAAATATCACATACTCGAACTGATCTATCACATACTCGACCGCGTAGCTCAGTTGAAAGCTAGTTTTCCAAAGGTCGTAGGTTCGATTCCAACCGTGGCCAGGCATATTTTTCAAGCTTGCCCGGTGTGGAAACATACTCAGAGTAACATCACAAAACAAAATATAACTATATATCACTATATAACTGTATATAACAGTTATATAAACTATAACCGATTTACAAACCTGTTTCTTGTGAATTATCTTCGGGCAACCATTTCAGCAATATTTCAATACGTTTCGTGGCTCTGGTGACTTCAGCTGACTCATCATAAATTCTTGCTGCTGCATCTTGTAGACAGTTTTTCAACAACAACGTCGGTTTAATATTTTGCTGATCAATCTTTTCTTCATCAGAATCCTAAAAAGTAAGAAAATCAGGTAGATTGGTGATATATGAAGGGTACAGAGATAAGGTCGATATGGTGAACATAAAGGCAGAAATTGTTGGTCATCTTTTTCAGTCACTTCTAGTCCACGCTCTAGATACATATAATACGCAAGCCTTAAATAGATACATTTAAACTCGTTTATATTTCTGTGACAGTTATGTTTTTGTACCCTCCTCAGAACTCATTTTAACCTTCGTTATGCTCGGGCGAAAATGAGTCTGGATTGAGGGCCAAAAACATATTTATGCCCGCGAACATCAACTCTATTGCTATATTAAACTGTTTGGTCCCTTGTTTTGTAGTATATACCATATTTTTCTTTTACCTCTATGTTCTCCACATGCAGTTTTTGGCTACCGCTTGGTATACTAGCATCAAGATCAACATCCCTATCCTCAATATCATCACCTCTTGCAGAGTAGGCTGGCTGAAATAGATCACTTACTGAGCGATTTACCAACTGTTCAATCTGTGGAAGCTGCTCGTTCGATTCAAGAAGCTCGTCAATATGAATTGACTGCCATTTTCCACCTTGAAATCCTACAAAATGTTGACATCCCCCAGCAATCTTTGGTAATTGAATGATAAAGATAATGTGGATAGGTTTCTTAAAAACGTCAAAGTCTTCTAGTGTACGGCGCCGGGTGTCATCCACAAGATATCGACAACAGGCAATGAGGTTGAAGTTCGCCTCACCATTATCACATTGAACAAGTAGAAGTCCTTTAGCACCACCAAGTGCAACAAAGAATTCTCTAGATAAAAAATAAATTAGGGTAGCTAGCTATGGTTTCCCATGTCTGCAATCAACTTTTGCATTTCACTATATCATATATATTTTGAGGTTATATTCATTTCATTAAATAAGTTTTTGAAAATCACCGGTTTATTGGTTGAAAACACAATTGTCTTTGTTATTCGTGGGCTCATATTTCCGTGATTGCCCGCTAAAATCATCTCAGCTTGAAACAGGTGTTTATCAAACAATGGCGGAGTTGAGTCAGGTCAGAGCGAATCTTCTAAAGGTTGCGGACCAAATATCGGCCTTAGGAAGCAAAAATCAGGTAAAGTACTAAAGTAACTAAACGACTTTTTATATTCAGTGTTCTACTTTCCTACCATTTTGTGCAGGCTTATGTAAATTCAAGAATATGAATTATTCACACACTGTACATGACATGTATTATATACTGTACATGAAATGTATTAACATTCAATTATGGCTTGGTGTTGGCGGCTCGTATCGCCCGTGTAAACGGGCCTTAAGGTGTAAGATTACAAAATGGTATTCTGCAATCTACCTGATCAAAAGTCAAATACGAGCCGCCAACACCAAGCCATAATTAATAGGCCGTGGGCTGTTGTGCAAAAAAGTGCCTAGAAAAGCAATTTCGTGGCACCCTCCTGGGAAATAGATTTTCTGTGGTTCAATTCATAGAACCATAGATGCTTAATTACCACAAAAAGTTCCCAAGCAAAAAACCTGCCCAACACCGAGAAAATGGGTGATCAGTGATTATCCTCTATTAAATTGTATTACAGCAAGAAAATGTAACATTTCGTATTCAATTACAACAAAAATGACTTGCATTATCAGAAAGTTTACAAAAACCTACATATAAGACATTTAAACAGTTTTTTTTATATCTATAATTGTTTTCGAGTTATACGCTGTCAAAAACGCGTTTTTGACCTAGTACCCAGTCCTTATTGCGACATTTTGGTCCAATTTCCACATTTAAAACAGCAATAACTCAAAGACTATTTGAAAAATCAAAAAACTGTTTAAAAGTCTTATATGCGGTTTTTTGTACGTTTTCCGATGATGCAAGGCATTTTTATCGTAATTGAATACAGAATTTCCCATTTTTTTTGCTGTAATACAATTTAATAGATGATAATCATTGATCACCCATTTTCTCGGGATTGGGCAACTTTTTTGCTTGGGAACTTTTTTTGGTAGTGATGTACCTATATGTGTTTCAAATAAACCCCAAACCAAGTATTTCCCACACGGGTGCCACGAAGCGAAATAATTTTGGCCAACAGCTAGCCCACGGCCTATAAATGTTAATACATGTCATGTAAAGTATATGAATAATTAACAATTATTCGCCGAAGGCGAAGTGATTACCGGTGAATATTCACCGAAATCAAAATATCCGAATGTCAGTTCAATTAAGTTGCAAATCAATCAAATGTGTTTTCATTTAGCTTTAAGCCTGCACAAATGACATTTCAGAACAGTAATGTTACTTTTATTATCACGTTATAATAAGTTTTAAAGTTTTAATCTGTTTGTTGTGATGTTTTTAAATACAGCTAATTCAATTCAGGTTGCCCTTCCAAAAACTTAAACCTTAAACTCTGAGCGCGCAAGGATTGATGGGTTATTGCTTTTTAGATCATAACCTTTGAAATTTGGCTTTGCGAGAATACCTAAGACATCTAGAAGACTCACGACAGAAAACATACTTGCTGCAAAGGCAATTATCTGAGTTTAAAGGCCTACTAGGTGAAAACCCGTCATCCCTTGCGCGTTCAGAGTTTAAGGTTTAAGGTTTTGGAAGGACAACCTTAATTGAATCAGCTGTATAATTAAAAACGAGGAGGAATTCGTTTTTACTATAGTTTCTTGTTTGTTCGATATAATAAAACTGCTTTGGACTCATCTTCGTCTAATATGCCAAAATATTAAGTCTCGAATTCAATACTAGGCTCGACATTCGGTCTCGCCCAATATTAAAGTCACGACTTCATATATTGCCATATTGGGCTCAGAAGAATCCAACAAGATATATTATTCAGACCTCGGTCAATGTTATCCGCCTTCGCTTCGGCAGATAACATTGACCACGGTCTGAATTCTTAATATCATGCGAAAGCCGAATCCAATAATTGTTTATTCTTGAATTTAAATTAAGCTGCATAAAAAAAACACACAAAATGGATAAGGAAAACACTGAATATAAAAAAGCGTTTAATTACTTTACCTGATGAGCAGGTTTGTCGTTTGCTAAGGCTGATATTTGACCCGCAACCTTTAGAAGAGTCGCGCTGACCTGACTCAACTCCGCCATTGTTTGATAAACACGCGTTTCAAAAATCACGGTAATATGAGCCCACGAATAACAAAGACATTGGATTGCGGTTGGGTATCAAAAGTTGGTCATCAAAATATAAGTTGTGTTTTCAACCAATAAACCGGTGATTTTCAAAAACAATGTTATCATTTTAATGAAATGAATATAATCCTCAAAATATGATATATGTAGTGAAATGCAAAAGTTGATTTCTAGCGGACATGGGACACCATAGCTAGTTATCCAGCGCGATCCATATTCAAATTATAAAAAGTAGTAAAAGATACCAGCGATTAATACAAGCATTTTACATGTATTCCGTCCGTCTTTTTTCGAAAGAAGAGGGAGTTTCAGAAGGAGAACACTACCCTACTTCCACCAAAACTCTTCACCCCCTTCATGCCTTGAAGCATAGTCACAAATATTACTTTAAAGAGCTCTAAAATATTATTCTCGATCATAGAAGCTCATTTCCAGTAAAACATTGCAGATTGTTTACGAACTCCGTTGAAGTTCAAAAGTGGTCACGAGCTTCACAATTCTACACGAACAAATCTCGAAGAACCAATTTACCACTTTAGCGATCTCGAATGAACTTTCTTCCTTTTACATGCCGTTAATTGTTCACAATTTCTTCACAAGAAAGATTGAGTTTCAAAGTTAAAATAAAAATTGATTTTTTACTACCGTATATACTGGTAGTAGAAAAGTGCTTGTATTAATAGCTAAAAAGACATATCAATATATAATAACTCAATACTATTAACAATGTGAAATATAAGCAAATGTTAGCCTTGTTTTTGGTTGAATCACATAATATAATCACAACCATAATCTATAGTTAACAAGCATATTAACTGGAACCGTGCATTTGGCTATTCTGGGTAACTGGCACGCAAACATCCAAAATCATAAACCCTATAGCCAAGACCCTAATTGTTCCCCATATGTATAACATTTACTTTACTTACTCTAATGTCTTGACGAATTGTTGCTCTGTATGAAATTCCTGAAGGCTAATACAACGAGACTGTGAACCTGTAAACCCAGCGGCTGACGCTATGGCACGAGAATTTGCTTGTGATAATAATCGAGAGTGTGTGGTAATCTGGAAAAAAAGTTTTATAATTATTAACAATGTTATGACTTTGCGTACTTGATTAACAGTAATATACAAAAGCAAGATATGAAAACACTGCCACTTTACTAAAGAGTGACCGAGCACGTGGTCCAACAAATCCTGCTTCAATTACTGCGACCCATTATTATATACATTCATCACTTATTAAAACAGTAACCTGCGTCGGCATTCCTTGCAATATAACCCCAATTCGACAGGCAATAGGCCTTTTCAAGGTTTATTCCGCCATATTGCCGGGGGTGCAAAAACATTGGGGCGAGCGCGCGGCCAGCCATGGCTGCTATATATTTTACTAATGAGTGAGCAATAATTCTTGTGTGCACATTTTGTTGATTTTCTCATCCTGTGTATTTTCAAACATTTGGTAAAGATTTCAATGGAATCTGATTGGGGGAAATCCGTGAATATGCTGATTTCTTCGACACCTTTCGGCGAGCTGTTTACAGTATATTGGATTCACACGTTTTCTTTGTAAAGTACAACTTTGTTTAAAAGCTTATTGATCTCAATATACGATTTAAAGTTAGCGGTTACCGGTCTGCCGTAAACATCAATCTTAATCTTTCTATTAGTGATTTTCCTCCTGTCATCTACTTGGCTGGGATTCGAACCCACGTCCTTCGGTTTACTAGTCCAACAATCTACCGTCTGAGGTACAGGTAAACATATTTAAATATTTATAGTCTTTAATAATCCAATTCTTGTAAATACATGGTAATTAAGGACTCCTTTTTCATGTATCTTTTTAATAATCCAGTAATAATCCAGTAATAATCCAGTAATAATAAAAAAGTCGTTGACAGATCCATGGGTTTTTGATATTTGGAAACTGAATCACAATACTGAGTTTGAATCCCAGTCGGGCCAAGTAGAGTTTCCTCTACTTTAATGGTTCGTATGGTATCGTTCGTCACTCAGAGTACCTCTTAATATCATTTTACTCTCTCTGAGCAGTTGAGGTTGTATAAAGTTTGATATTGATCGTTGCATACTTGTCGAGAAAAATTGAAATATGAGCGAAAAAATATTGCCGTGGTCAAGATGAGGAAAAAATCCATTCACAGCTATTTCACTAGAAAAAAATACTTGCGCTGCTTGGCATAAAAAACAAAATTCCTTCCGAGAACAATCCTTCTGCCCCGCATCTAATGGTCCGCTCCTATAAACTGTAGTATATTAAAATATGTGCGGTTTCAATAAACGGCAGCTACTGCTTGACGGGGGTAGGAACAAAATGTTGTTGCAATTTTGTTTCACTCAAACTCACAGGCATTCGTTGCCGGGGATTACCACACCGAACTTGACAGTTCATTAATTAAACCCATTTCTTTGTTGAAACAATAGCCTGCACGCATTAACAACAATCACACAAGTTGTACTAAAAAGACTCATACAATTTTAAATTGTACTCATACAATTTTAGTCAATATTGGAAAGCTTACCTGGACAAGAAAACTATCGTTTTCAGTATCTTCATCACTTCCCAAGCAATGAACCAGATAATCTTTCAAACTCCCATGTTTCTGATTTCGAAAATACTCTGTCCAAAGCTCCTCTGCATAGTGCTTTAGTTTTGTTGCTGGTAGTCTAGCAATAGCATCGGGTGATGCACACTGCAACAACGAGTATCTTGACTGGGAAAGAATCTAAAAAGAAAAGCTACTATTTAATCTTTTGGCAGAACATTTTGGCAGGAGAGGGAAATTATAGTAGCACGAACAATTTCAGCCAAGTTGATCCTGCAAGATGAAATTTTGCCAATGTATTAATCTAGAATAATATATATAATCTCATATATATAAGGATATATAATAATCAGAATGGAAAATTACATCTTTCACCTCTTTAAAACACTCTTGCATTCATAAATATTCATCGTTTGTATATTTATTTGCACAGTAAATTAGATGTAATAAGACGCCGGGTACGAGTTTACTTGGGCGACGTGGTAAGTCGGCTGTCACAGACAAAATTAACAAATTTAGTAGGCACCTGGCTACATCCTCTACCTCGTTTCTCTGTAACTTACAGGTAGCACTTCTCGTGTAACTTACAGGTAGCACTTACTCGCTGGCCTGGGGTAAGTGAATATCATGACGGGCAAGTAAACGTTTTATCTTACTTGCCCGATTGGGCAAGTTGGCAATTAAGTTTATATTTTCATTGTCGGATAAAGTTTTTATAGTGCATGTACTTGATTCAATATTTTTGTGGGCCAAAGCTAGATCTGAGGCAGTATAAATAGCCATATAGAGCAGTGGGAGAACGGGTAGACATGTTGTCCATTTAATTTATACACCCTACCTAAGTGCCCCAGTGGCCATTGTCTGATGGCAAGTGAATTTTATTCAGGGCAACTAACTTTCATGTTCAACTTGGACATGAGGACAAGTGGTCAAAAAAGGAAAGTTACATCACTGAAAAGGTGAGCTACCGTCGCTTGCAACTAAGGATGAATGGTCGCTCATAAAAATTAATGACTACATCCTCTACCTTGTATTCTCCTAAGAGCCTAAGAAATGAGCTACCATCGCTTGTTGAACGGTCGCTCATAAAAAACATTGCCTATTCGCGTATAACAAAGTTCAATGTTTTTACCGCGAAAGTTTTGAAGAGAGAGAGAGAGAGAGAGAGAGAGAGAGAGAGCGAATTGAAACCATCAAATATCATCAGAAACATTGAACTCTGTCGGCAAAAACTAAAATCTCTGAACTTTGTTAATTGTTATGAGAATAGACTATGTTTTACCTGCGACCGTTCATCCTTAGTAGCAAGCGACGGTATATCACTTCCACATTTTAGAATACTGGAATATGTCATTGCGTTATAAAGTAGCGTGTTTTGGCGAAATAGTACCGAAACGTTGGGTCGTGAATACAATAACACTATTCGACTGGGCTTTGTGTTCATTTACAAAACCAGAGTAGCTAGCGAAAACATATGACCTGGTCGTCAACACTTTGACAACCAGATGTACAGGTATTAGTGCCAAGACAAGATATACAAAAGCATTCTTACATAAATAAAGAGATGCTTAATTTACATATAACGTACCATTAAAATAAATTCTTGCTTTGAATACATAGTTTAACTTTACTTTGTATTTACTCTATTCTTTGAAGAAAGACTTCAAAGACACAATTGCTACACATGCCTCAAGCCCTCAAAGCCGGCCTCATCCCCAGCGCGGAAGAAACACGCGAGAAACTCAAAGCATCATGGGGGGACAAAACGCAACACCAGAGAAAAAAAACAAAACGAATTTAAGACTTGGTCAACATAGGTCACCCAAGTAATAAAAAATCTTGAATCAGGCCGGGGAGGGAAATAACAATTATTGGGATTTTTCTGCATGGGACAAGAACCACCAGCTCATGAAATCTGGATGTAGGTTTACAAGGGATTCAGTTTACTTGTAGTTGCTAGTGCTTCAAGCGTCTCAGCCAGCTGTCGTTTTAATTAATAAAATAAATTAGTCAAGCAGTCATTAGAAACAACCCCCCCCCCAATACTTCTTTGTCGCAGGTAAAACACAGTCATGGAAATTTCTTCAAGTTGTCCTTGAGTAAATTTGTAATATTACAAGAATCTTCGGTCAAATGCTGGAGACCTAGTAGGTCTGTTGAATCTACCAAGCAAGTATAAAAAACTCTTACCTGTTCATTAGACGAACCATTTTCAAGTTTGGAAAATTTCATAACTACCGCAGCAGCAGTATCGCTGTGGTAACCAACAAAACAATCACCAGGCTTGAATATGCTATAATGCCAAAAACAAAGAACTGCATTTCAGAATGCAAGCTATCATTAAATCATCGCACCTAACAATGTAGTCAATGTACGTACTGGCACAAAATCTGATTTATAATGTACATTTCTGCCTCGCGTTTACAGCAAAGCAGATGATTGATAATTTATAAACGGTCATTTAATGCAAGCTAGTCTGATATTTAACTATTTGATAGTTTATTTTCTCCTGTAATCTCCCATATAATATTACCTATAAACCTGGTTCAAAGCTTGTGCTAGGACCTTGACCTTTATCAAACGTGAAAATGATGTATATATGACTTTTTCTTTATGCCTCTTTTGGAACTAATACAATTAATACAAAACTGATTCCTGCATAACCAACTAATTCTTATACAAGTTTGCTTACGCTTTCGCACTAAAGCCCTAGTCAAATGAGGATAAGAACTGGTCAGCGAGATTTTGCATGAGAGTTCTCAGCTCTTGTGCCGTGGTCAAATGACAATGGCAAGAATTACGAGATTGGACCAAAGTTGATTAGACAAGTTCAGATTGAACTTCCACTAACGCTACCGCCACCGCTACCATTGATCAATCACATGGGTTTAAACTATACGTATCAAATTAGGGATAGGCAGCAGTATAGTGAAAGTCATAATCTGAAGCTCTCTAGTGGATACTATACCGCAATTCTCATCATCTCTCATAATTTAAATCATCAAATGTGATGAGAGTTAACAAAAGTCGAGGAAGTTGGCAGTTAAATGGAAAGGAGAGTTGCAACACTAATCGACCTTCATCAATGTTTGACCGAATTTAAGGATGGCCGATCGCAGACTGTTATATTAAAATCTGCCTGGTATATTAAAAATAACAGAAACTGTATTCATATAGTGACGAAATTGATTTTGGTGTAAGTTAAATTATATTCCTTGGTTCACTAGAAAGCCCTAAAACTTGACAATGTCTTTTAGTGTTTTACTTTTGCTAAAGCTAACGTTCCTAAAAATTATAACTACGGCATGGTTATTCAATAAATCATTGTATTTAATCACTACAACAAGTCAAAGTTCTATACCTCTCGCCAGATAAATATTCAGGCTTTGCATCCGAGAAGAGCTTCACCCAGTCCTCCAATTCTTTAGCCAAGTGAGCTTGACGTTCTGTTAAACCAGTCGACATAACAAGTAGATGTTTTTCCAGTCGATTGATAAGAGGAATTGGAAAACGTTCATAAACGTCATCCTTTTCAGCAACTACAATCAATCTGTACAAATTAAACGAATACAACTTTATATAACAACCATTTCGTCTTCAGGGTTTTGTTCCTACATCCTAACTTTCCCCAAAGCCTTTTTCGCCTTTTGTAAAAAAAAATCAAATTTTAACACACAAATGTATATTTATGTTTTCATGGCTACCACTAACATGTTTCCTCAGAGGATGGCTAATTCAATACACGGTACTTCATGCTGAAGTGCTGTTTGGGAACTATGGTCGCCTGTTTGGTTATAGAAAGGGCAAGGGATTGTTGCATGTATGTATTTCTGGTTCTCAAATGGAGGTCAAAATTACCAGTGTTTTATGCAGCCATGGGTAGCGTCAATAGCACTGATAAAAATAATGAACGACATGTGTAACATGGCAGTGTTATACCATGTTATTTAATATATTCAATACTATATTCAAAACTATATATTCAGTATACTGTTATAATTATAAGAGGAAGACCTTAGGCAACCTTCCTCGCATGAATAAGCAAATATTTAGAGAGATTAAAGAACCACGGGAAACGCCTAGTACCGCAAACCACGCAAACAGGACATAGTTTTGTGGTTGATAAACACTGCTAGAACTTGCTTTGACAAACATATTGCGTAGAGGGAATTAGTCATAGTTACAGATTTCGTCCTCTAAAATTTATTATAAAAGCTGAGCACAACCTGAGAGTCGAGAGCGAAGAGTGAAGTGAGAAGAGCCATTTAGGCTAAAATACTTCATAAGCCAACAAAGGCTGAAGTATATAATTAAAAGGCTAGATAATTAAGCCTCGTCAAGTAAACTGAAGAACATTGGAATATTGTGGAATAATTATTATTAAAGACGACGGAATACAAAGTATAAAGAATAAAGATTCAAAGTTGTGCTCAGCTCAAACAAATAGAGAGATAAGTTGATATATTAAGATTACTATATTATTATAACATTATAGAGACGCTAATTCATATTGTTGAAAGTAAATAAAATATATAAAAGGTATAAGGTTTCATGCTATTTGTGTTACGGTAGCGTTAATATAATTTGAACCCGAAGCCTAAAGGTTGAAAATATACCTAATTGGAAAATATATTCGACGCATAAATAACGCACCATAACACATGTTCCTGGTAAAATTGGACTTAAGTACAGTAAGCCAAGGGTTATAACTTATAAGATGCTGTATATTTCCAGAAGTGTTAACGACTGAAGTGTTATGTGCGCATGTATGACAAATTTTGGATCGTCAAATTTCAGTACCCCGACAAAAGCACAAACACAGAAGATAAACTTCAAGCCATGCTCTGAACATCTTTGGTCATGGGTACCAAAGGCTTGGCCTTTCTGTCAATGTGAAGAGGAGATAATGTATCAGCCAGGCTCGGGTTACCTTCTCTCAAGATGAACAAAACCGTAATAATGAACGTTCAGAACTGCCCCTACCTGGGCAGTTTCCGTTTTGTAAAAACAAAAATTTGATGCCGAAATCCAACTCTTCAAGTGTTAGTCATGTTTTTGGTCGGATACATGACACAACCGGAAATTGCACAGAAAATGGTCATGTCGCTGAGCATTCATTGCATGACATTGTTAGCTCAGTCACGAATTTGCAAGTGTTATTGTTTTGCTTTAGTTTTAAATTGTAAGTTTACATAATTATTTTTTCATTATGCCTAGTAACTTAATACTTTTCTTGGGCATTTATAATTCTACATATTCACCAAAAACTTATATATTTAATAATTTAGCAGTTTTTGGCATTAATATTTAGCATGTGCACTCTACGCATGTTCAGTTAAGGTGAGCTAGCTCATCATAGCTGTTAATATGTGCAGGGCCGGATTAACGTCGCGCGAGGCCCGTGGCAGATTTTCAGCGCGAGGCCCCCATCCCTCTCGTTATGAAAACCTTTGAATTGAAACACACACAAAATTGTTAAATAACTGTTTTCAATTTTATCCGCAAATCACCGCAATTTCGCAGCCAAGCTATCCTCACCAGGACTTCTGCATAATTTTCCGTTACGTTAAAACTGGTTTCAAATATCAATGAAACCTTTATATTTTGCTAATTTGGGTGCTTGAACAACCTGAATTAATGAATTAATTGGCCTGCCTGGTCCAGTATTTGGGTCAACAAGTATAAAAAGGATCATATAACAGTTCAGCGCAACGGGAGATTACATGCATACGGGTATTGCATATTTTCCTGGGGCCGACTGCCAAGCCTAGGGGCCCTAAATGCGCGAGGTCCCTAAATTCGCGAGGCATGTAAATTCGCAAGGCACCTAAAATTGGCGTGTCCCAATAGACAATGGGCGTGTTCTCGTAAAAATGGGCGTGACACAGTAAAACGCGAAGCCCCTATAAGCGCGAGGCCCGCGGCATATACCACATCTGCCAAGTGGTTAATCCGGACCTGAATATGTGGCCGCAGACGTTTCAGGGATGGATACCAAAATACTTGTGTACAACGTTTTGTGCCCTTGAAAAGTACATCAGTGATATCTCCACCGCATCGTGGGTGTCATTCTAGAAGAGGCCAATGGTATTATAGCATTGACGCCATGGTTATCCGAAGTCAACTTCGCTGGTGGGGACACATTATCACGATGGAATGTTGCCGTCAACTTGGTTCGAGTGCAAAGTCCCGTGGGGAACAGATAAAACGGTTTAATTAAGGACAACCTGAAGGTATCTCTGGCTTATTGTAACATCAGTGTCGACAACTGGGAGGACCTAGCCCACCATGCAGGATTGCACGAAGCTGAGTATACAAGGGTGCTACTACAGGTATATCTGAATTTAAAAGGCAGCGAAAGGCTGGGGAGACTACAATGCACATAACGGGAAACGGCACCTCCACCAGTCACTACCGATCGAATCTGTAGTGTATATAAAAGAGTTTGTGCATCTCGCATTGGACTTGTTGATCACCTAAGGGTGCACAAGTAATTTACAGTGGACAATCTTACTTGTTCTCAAGTGATCCCTGTTGATGATAATGTTATGTGTGCAACAATCCAAAAATGACACAAATTTATCCCCTTTAATTAACATTATACTTAAGGCGATCTGATACACAACTTGCGCACTGCAAACTTAAATAACGTACAAATGAAACTCCCGCCCTGCGAAAAGCAACAATATCTTATGTGATAGGAACTTACTTAAACTTGTCTGCAACTCGGCACTTCACTCTGTGGTTTCCCAGACCAAGGTCAACATATTTTTGTTTATCCAGATAAACATAATACTAAAAGAAAATAAAAGTACAAGTTATGTCATATGTAGAATGCATTACAATTTGACAATTGTCCAATTGAGGATGTTGAAATCGAGGATGTTGAACAGGACCTTTTTCAACATACAAGCTGGGGGTAAAACTTACTTTCCGTTTATTAATTTGTTTATTCTTCGCTGGTTTGTTTGTATAAATTTAGTAGAAAGGGACTCCCCCCCCCCCCAGGAAAGTCCCTTTCTACTAAATTTATACAAATAAACCAGCGAAGAATAAATAAATTGATAAACGGAAAGTAAGTTTTAGCTTTATCCTTGTTTAACAAAATCGATTTAAAGGAGCTGTGTGCAATGCAATGCAATGCAATGCAATGCAATGCAATGCAATGTAATAAGTTATTTGTTAATATTTTTATTTTTTGTGCGTTTTTTCCTTCTATTTCAAATACAAGTATAGTTAGCATAAATTTTAGAGCAAATTTGGACGCTCAGAATGCAGGAAATGGCATTTCCGGGCTTCAAATTTCAAATATTTTCTGGGGGAGTATGGCCCAGACCTCCTATTCATGTGTGGTATGTCGGTCACACAGGTGGCCTTCGGCCATTGCTTCCCTTCTCAAAAAATGCTCCCCCCACGGGAAAATCCTTAAAGGTCCTGATGTTGAAACGTAATCTGTGCCTTCCTTCTTCGCCAGATTCATGCATATTAAGCTATTTCTTCTTTTCTAAGAAGGATCTCGTGACATGTCCTATAATAAAATCTTTAATATCATTGTTATCAATTTACATTAATCGCACAGGTGTACCGATTAAAGATTAATTGGTACGAATACAAGCCCTACATTCCGCACGCTCATGTGAATGCAGAAATTTAAAACAAAATCCAAATAAACAATGCGTAAATCTCGGTGAAAAGGTACATAGAGAGGGGGGGGGGGGCAGTTTGCCCGAAATGACCTAAATTTAATATACTTGCTGATTAATCTCCTCGAATTTCTAAAGGTTTTTTTTTTGGGGCTTCTCTCGCATGCCTGTGTGAGAAATTACTCTCAAAATTGACAAAGATGCGTATATGGCAGAGTTCGCTTGAATGCAAAATTGACTACAAAATGATATCAAAAACACACTTGTTCTCGAAGTAAATGAAAAATCACACTTGTGTTATAAATATTTCGCAAAACACGCGTGCAATTTTTCATGTAATATTTCAAATCCGACTATGAGGACTGGACCAGATCTCAAGTCAGCGCAATTGGATCAAAATGCGAGGAGTTGAAATCTATAGTCCAGTCCGAATTGGAGGATTTGAAATGACATCTCATGCGAATAAATCACAATTTAAATTTATTTAATTTTGATCCAGTCCAAGGACTGAATTAATTTTGACCCAGTCCTAGGACTGGATTAATGTACTTTATCAGATATCCAGTATTATCATGTGAGCAAAATAAAGCAATATGGTTGGCTAATTTACTCATGAACTATTAATGAGTTTGAGATTAATACTTCTTGAACCGTGTAATGTCCTATACTTATATCGGGAATATTATTAAGCGGACAGCAACATATATTTATATATAGAGAGAAAAAGCACCTGATTCAATGCATCGTATAAACTTTCATAAAGACTTTCTAAGTTAAGTAAGATCACCATCCTTCCCGTTTCCATGCATACTTTGATTCGATTGATGTTTCGACAAATCTACAATTTGATAAACATTGTTTATTTTCTACATCAATACAATTTAACAAATAAATAATTGATAAACAAAAATTCTAAACCAACGCTTTTTAATAATAATAATACTTTATTGAAGGTTGCATGGATATTTGAAATCGGGACGCAACATGCAAATAAATAAAAATTGACAATATACCTGAGTGTATTGCTGATCTTTCGGGAAACTGCTGCCAAAAATGATAACAGGATCGTGATTTTGCAACTGGCCCTGCAACAATCTTAGCGCTGCATAGTTCTCCGTCAAAACAAGCAAATAGCGACTTTCCCTAAAATAAAATATAACAGTCCATTGCATCGAACAGATTTTTTATTTGTTTAGTTGTCCAACGTTTCAATTCTCGCATGCAGGATGCAAGCAGGCTACATATTCCACAAAAATCTGATCCAATCGCTACTTTCCGACATAAAATATCAGGGAATCAAGCGGAAATTTTGGGCCTCAAAGTTCCTTTACGTTGTTTTTCTAAAAACTTTCCGGATTCCGCATCACATCTGGAAAAATTCTTCATTAGGATGAGCAGCAAATAAAAAAATACATATTCCTTAAGCAAAATTGAACGAATTCCCAAATCCAAAATTCCACCTATAATTCTTTGATAAAATGCAATATGAAATAATGACATAAATATGAACTCACCCTTCAACTTCTGTTCTACCAAGACTTTCTTGGATAAGTTTCACTGGAAGGCATTCTGGCGAGGGATGCTTTAAAAAGATAACGTATTACCGATAACATTGTATTGCATTTTATATTAATATCTACATATAACGTCTTCGTACTCTTATTAATTTTACAAGATGACAATGGAGTGATTTCACAATGGAGTGAAACTACAATCGTGGACTTAACTTGTTAATAAAATTTTAATTTACCTCTGTGAGAGTTTAAATTGTAGTTTAATTCCTGTATTTTGTCTAAAACATACTCCCCCCCCCCTTCCCCCAACACAATGTTGTTGAACTACGTTTAAAATGAGAGGAAAATCATGGCAACATTGCATGGGTGGGGGATTTGATTGTATTTTCCTAAAATGTCGATCGATTTTATTAACACTTTTGTCCACGATTGTCTCCAATAAATTGCAGTTTTCCTAGTTAAAATGCAATCAGCTGCCAAGGGCTTTACGATTCACAATGTATATTCCTTTCAGCCGAGATGTGTAAGCTTCAAAACGAGACAAAAAAACATTATTTTTCGACTATATGTGCTTTATAAACAAAAAAACGCTGATCAACACTATATGTTAATTTAACCAGATAGATTTGCAAGTGCTTTTGATGCAACCAACATGCATGTGCAGTACATAAACTTAGAGTTTGGAGAAGGTTTAATGAAAAAATGCATTAGACAAATTAATTGTGCATCTTCTGCTCTTGCTAACTGTACAGTTCCTATTAAATAACTTTATATCGTAGTTTGGGACGAATATCTACCTCTGGTTTCACGTCACGCTGAACGGTTAACCATGGTTAACCGTGACGGTTAACCACCGACAATAACGAGAAATGTTATGTTTGCTGGCATACTTTTGTAAACATTGTTGCATTTTTGACATTTCCAGAAAATGCAGGATTGTATCAGAGAAGATCAAGTTATCACAACTGCGAATTGTGCAGAAATACGATGTTCGGCTACGGTTAACCTCTTGTTTTAATTTAAAAGCTATTAAAGACATCAAATATTTTATCAATATTATGGTGAACCGTGCTTAAAAACCCAAATAAGCAAATGGTAACCATAATTACGATATAAACATTTAAAAGAAAGTTCATTCATGTCTAATGAATAGAAAAACTACAAAATTTATCGTCCCATAACGTTGCTTGCAATAATTTCTAACATTTATGGCCATGGTTAACCGTCTGGTAAAGCGTTGCATTGTTAATTACTGAGGCATATGCAAATTGCATTCAAGCGTTCCTGCTGATATTTTACTACACAGTCATTTACGTTATGTTATTCAAGCTAATAATCTGCTACTAGGTTGAAAATGTTTATTTTGCATATTTTAATCTTACAAACTCGCCTTACAAGTTTAGTATACAACGCCGTGCAAAAAGGCAACGGAATTACGACAAAATATTAATATGCTCTATACTGCAAATTACCAGCGGTTTTGAACTTCTATGTCAGTTTTATCGGTAAATTACGCTTAAAGTGGTCGCTAATATAAAGTCACTATTAAATACGGTTCAAAACACAAAAAATGTTCGATTCCCGTGCACCCTGTTCGTCAATGGCACAAGTTTTCGTGTGCACCATTTACATTACACTACAATCGCTACTCGCGCGAAGTGATCGCGACAATCAATATCGCGTATCATATGTTTATCTAACCCTACGGGAATATACCAGAGAGCAACCCATTTTAAATCTATGAAACGCCGTTTGACCTAAAACAATCTAATGCTCGATAGAGATATTCAGGCAATAAATAGCAAATATAGGCCAAAAAACACTTATTAGTTTAGGGTCCGTGCTTAGACTGTAGCTGGGGTTTTTTTTCTGGTCAGGACAAAGAAAAGTCATTTCACATTGAGTGAAAAACCTACTATGGAAGAACATTAGCTAGGTCGAAGCCGAGGAAAGCCATCAAACGAACTTTTAATAAAGCTTTTTCAATTCTTCCTTAATCGAAAATAATGTTACGAACACTTAAACATTACGAGAATAACGCTATAAAACGACAAGAGTAAAACAGCAAACTTACGAGAAATTTGAGGTAATTTATTTTTTAAAGTTGTCAGGCAAAGAAGCAACAAAAGTGCTAGGAAGTGAAACAATACAATGTCGGCATTTTCGCTTAGTAAAACTGCACCTTTAAATTTATCAATAACCTTCAAAATAAAATATTTGGGCTCAAAACACTATCAAAATTAAGAGAGAAGTGAGACGAACCCACTGGTATACGGCCGAAAACAAGAAAACCAACGATACGAAAGTTATAAAGGATCAAACGTACTGCATTTTTAACTAGTCTAATAATTTTGAGCGATTTATCAACAATAGTCAATACAATTTCGCTTGACTTTCAAAGGCCAAAAATCGCTAGAATAGTGTTGTTTAGTAACACATTTGACATCCGTAAGTACAATTGCTTCGGCTGAATCTAACAGTGGTGTTTTTGTCCTTATTGGGCGCATAAAACCAGAGATAAGGCGCGGCAAAAGGTCAATCACAATAAATCAGGAAATGACGGATTTTCTCGCATACCGTCGTTGCGACTAAGGATGAACAGTCGCAGCTAAAACAATGTTATTATCTACGACCGTTCATCCTTAGTTGCAAGCGACGTAACGCCCATGTCATGAACGACAGTTTCCGAAGTTAACACGACAATTTCCGTCACATCTGAACATCTTGGCATCTTCTTTTAGCGACATAGCGGCTACACAAAAAACTAATTGATGACGTAAGGCGTGATATCGCGATTGATTTCATGCTCACATGCCTCAAACTGAGCTTTTTAATTCACTGGACAATTTGAAGTTGAGGCATATTATACTGTATGTATTTTTCTTACCTTTACATAATGTTTAAGTCTTAAAAATTGCCCACTAAATATCTTCACGGGATCAAGGTCATCCAGGCCGCTGAAATTCCTTCTGATGGATTGTTCCAGTTCTACATCACTGAGTAATTGTTCACCTTGTTCTGTCTGCACAGCAAAACCATACACCATCTTTACCAAACTGTAAGCATAAACAGAGATTTACTCTTTAGCATGTTACATATCTTTTGCATTTGTTATGGCAACACAAAAAATGGCTTCGTGTTTTCATTATCTTTCGTGTTTTAAAAACACGGAAAAAATTGAAATTGCTTGGTAAACAGCCTTGTTAATCTGTATTGTTCCCAGAGAATCAGCCGCATAAATTACCACAAGTGATGTTCTGAATATACTTCTAACCTGTAGAAGTCCCGAAGTCCAAAGAATTCGTCCTTTTGGGCATTTTTTAGAGTTTCTGAATCGCTTTGTTGTTCATAAAGGTCAAAATACCCATTACATAACCTCCCGATATAAGCTTCAAGACGATTCTGAATATCTTTATTACTAGAACAAATTCCCCTAAAAATGAGAAAAAAACAATTGCTAGAAATAAATCAATAAGCTGACCTAACTTATGCTGTAGTATAATTACGACTCAAGGCCTCGCCTTAGGTAACATCCCGGATTTTATATACAGTTTAGTCCTCATGCATTTATAGACTGGAATGTTAAATATTTGAGTAAGGGCCTGTTTACATGGAGGTAGGGTGACCCTAGCAGCAGGGTTACCCTAGTAAGCGGGTCACCCTACTTCAATATGTTTTAGGGGTGGGGTTACCCTATCAAACATATAGGGTGACCCTAGCAGCAGGGCTATCTTTTTGTTTACATAAGTCATGTAAACACGTCAGGTAGGGTTACCCTAGCAAGCGGGTCATGTTTTATTCGCCCTACTGTGACTGCTAGACAAACAAGGATGGCGTCGCTAGATTATACATATGAATATATCAGCCTGGCGAGTATTTTAAACGACACCAGAAAATAACTAGGGATCCAAGGATAGTGCAATGTTTCTGAAAGCTTGAAAAGTCATTGCGGAAATATCAAATTTTTCAAACATATTGTTCATAGTTTTGCAGTTAATTTGACGCGGTTCGCGTTTAATTATAAATTTTGTTGTAAATTACCAGTACGCTTGAAGTAGACGAAATTTGAAACTTTTAGATGAACTTTTGAACATATTACAGCCATTTTGGTCCAACCATACCACAAATCGCAAAAATTTCCGAGCTTTGTTTACGTTTCACGGTTTGTGACACAGCTAACAGTAGCTTGCCGGAAGCTACATTTTTAATTAATGTCGTACATTTGTCGTACATGGATGTCTCAATTGCTTATATACATAACACAGTAATCAGTATCAAAAAATTAGTTTTGTCGATATCCCTGTATATTATTTTGTAGCATCTCAATTTATTTAATATACAGAACGCAGACAAGTTTATACTTACGATAAGATTGGGCCGAAATTTCGGCCACATCACGCATTAATTGCCAAAACAGTAAATTTGCCAACTTGGCAACTTTTTATAAACGTAAACATTGCCATCGACATTGACATTGTATTCAAGTAAATGTATCAATACGATGACCTACGAATTGTACCTAAGACATAATAACTTTTAATCTTGAATTCAAATAAATTTATTGAAACAAAGGCTTTGTTATTAAAAGCTAGTATATCTCGATTATAGTATTATGCCAACAGCAAACTTCGCGCTTGTTATTATCCTTTTACTTCAATTACGGCACAAAAACCAAATATCACTCATACATTCATGCAATGATGCAAGTCATATATTACTATCCATATCAATAAAACTTATTGCGGCTGCCTGCATGTGCACAGGCTACAATATGCGGGCCTTGAATAAATGAATAATCAAAACAATATTAAAAAAATTCTGTCAAATTCTGCGACACCTATTGTGTATTGATTGTATACCGTCTGTTCACAGACTCATATACAGCACGTAAATTATATTTTTATATCAGAAAAATGCTGTTTGTATATGACTATGCTTTTATTGCAGATAAATTATAGATCTAATATAGACGAGCGTGCTATAAATGTGGCACTACAGTTACTATAGACAAACATTTATATATAGACATGATATTGCATGATCTACTGCACGGGGATATTATATTTCATGTTATTTATAAAACAACGTGTCTGCCTATACTGGCTACAGTCATATATAAAAGAATAAACTATAGCTGTATAACTAAATTTCGTGACATAAATTGAGTTACGTCTACGAGATTTAAATTGAAATATTCCTATAAAGAAAATCATAAATAGACATGCAAAAACTCGGGCCTCGTATGAAATGTGGCGTGTTGAAGCGGCCCAAAATAGAGTCTAAAATTGCATCGAAATAATACATATCCATGTTAAATCGTTTGCCCAAGGCCTGTTCTAAAATTTCGACCAGCACTCATACATATCGCCATATTTATTTGTGCGTGCTGATTTTGCTGACTTGCAGTTCTCACGAAAATCCGATGATACGGGGGATGCTAATGGCACGAATCCCCATATTTCTTATCTAAACTTTTAACATTGCTGTAATGTAGACGTTTAAACATTGATTGTCAAGCTAAATAAATCAAATTTAAGAAATTTTACTATTACTATAAATACCGTTTTAACGTTAAAAATTCTCCAACCTTGAAGTTTTTTTAGATATGGCATCGGGATAACATTTGCAACTCCCCCCGGAAAGTTTACTCTATGTATCTCTCGCTTGAATTTCGCCACTCATCACAATAGTGCAACGTTTCCATGGAAACATTGCACTAAAAAGGATAAGCAATTTAACATAGAACGAAGCATAGGCATAGAACGAAGCTTTGCCTTTGGACGAGAACGCTGCGAATGATGTAGTTTCGATAACAAAGTCAAAGACGGCGAAAAGGAAGCAAAATTCCGGCACATCCTCGTCGACGTCAAAAAACAAAATAAATGCTCTTGGTCAGCCGAACATGTCGAAAAACTGTTGTGTTGGACTATATCAGGGAATACATTACGCAATGCGAGTAATAGACCACAACATTGAAATAACAGACCACAACATTGAAATGCAGCAAGCAAAGGCCCAATAAATAGCATATTACACAATGTTGCGTTTCGGCGCCATTTTTCTAATACAGGCGGCTCAGCGACCACGCATAGGTGGGGTTACCCTATCGGGCAAAACAGCCCTAGCAGTAGGGGTACCCTACCTCATGTAAACGCTCGCTATTTTCTGACCCGCTTGCTAGGGTAACCCTCCTGATAGGGTGACCCTGTCTCCATGTAAACAGGCCCTAAGAATCGCCTCAAACCTTGCACTATCACAGAGTTCGTTTTCACTTGGTACTCCTCTACTCAACATGATGCCTCGGTTCATCTTTGCAGGATCTAACGCCCAATTTGATAAACCAATAAAACCAACACGGCGATGATCCGAAGTTGTTCCTGATTCTTCAGTAGTAGCTGTGCCATCTTCCAGTAGAGGATGAAGTGTTTTTAAAGGCATCAGGGGAGAATCTTCAGCTAATCCAATTTCGTCCAATACTACCACAGACACAAATTTATTCAAATCTTTGTCCTTTTGAAGTTTAGCACACTGTCTGAAGGTTGATACGATGCCTTCAGGGGTAGATAATGGGCTGCACTGGTACGATTGCATGTGGATCTATTAAAATCACACCAATTAAATGAAATGAATACATTTAATACTTATTCCAAAACTGTTTAAAAAATTTTCATGAGCGGGGTTTGCACTCACTGATGAGATCTAGCCCATATTCGATCAAGCCATGAACAGGGATTTTATATTCAATTTGTTTTATTCATATTCAAATTTTTATTGTAGAACATAACATATGCATGCATATATATAGGAAATATATTTTTGACGACTTAAACCTTGTTTCTCCTCTATATCAATTACTGTTAATAGTTGTTAGAGTGTCTTTTTCCTGTACGAGCACTGCGTAAGAGCAGTGCAGTTCCAGTTTCGAGTACTCCCAGCTTAAGGCCCTGTCACAC